AGCGAGGATACACATCCTACGCGGAACTGTTATATTCACTAAACGTGACGCACGTGTCAATTCTCCTCCCCCTTCACATCGGTCACAATCATTTTAATTTATACTTTACCTTTGCAGTTTATATAAACCACACATCTCAGATATTTCAACAGTATAGCATATCTTTATTATTATTTATTATGAATGTATTAAATAACCAAACTTCAACAACATAAGGGCAGATCCTTTTAGCGCTGCTGATGACACTGTGGAGTGACGCTCGAGTGATCAAGTATTCCAATGTATATAAACAAGCTTTTATTCGATTCCTCTGTCCTCCTTTCCTTTCCTCGCTTCCTTCCCTCGCGTCCTACAGGGGGTGGAGCTGAGACGCAAGGAAAGGAAACGAGGATGCACAAATAAGAAATGAGAAGCACCCATTAAGTATCATTTCATTCGATCAGCACTCAGTGATGGTAAAGTGACAATTGAGTATTGCCCCACTGAAGAAATGGTGGCTGATGTTATGACTAAACCAGCAACAAAGTTTAAACTTGAAAAGGTCAAAAGTCTTATGTTTGGCATGTAAATGCAGCCCAGGAGAGATACAAGATTTTTCTTGTGTTATGTTATTATAATGGTAATCTACACAGTATGAGAACAAGTGGGGGTGTTAAAGTTTGTAATGTGTGCCCTCATACTGCTCAGTGCTCACGTGTGTGTGATCTGTTATCCATAAATGGGTATATGTTAATAAAGGTGGATTGTTCCAGTCTAACAGAAAGCCGAGTGATGTCCATGTGTTTTTCCTCCGTATTATCTACTAAAAATAACCGGTTATAATCTACGAAAATGGCTGCGCCAACATGCAGTACAATGAAGTACAACTGTAGATTTGCAGTCGAAGGGGGTCTCGCCCTGGGTGTAATTCAAAGTAGAACCGCCACTGGTTCATATACGTTCATATTTATGAACTATCACAATTAAAACACAAAGACATAACAGCATTACTCGTGGTGATGGTCATTAACAAGTGGAATGGAAGAGAAGCATTTTCTGGAAGAAAAGAAGTGCATTGCGCGAGGCGAGGCCTTGTCAAGTCATTCAGCTTAGAGGTGAGTAAATTATAACATATAATGTCCTCATATTTCTCTTTTTTTTATTTTAGATTGGTGTAAAAAAGACTTTACGTATGTTGTTCAACCCGGTGGGAAAATAAGAGGAAACACCGCTTCTATTCTGTAATGTTAGTAGGGCTGGGCGATATATCGCACGATATTGTTATGCGCATCTAATCAGTAAAGCCGGTTTCTTGATTAGTAGTAAATCACCTTCACCTGCTTTCAGATGCACAAGAGTGTTAAAGTTAATGAGAATTAAGTGATTAATTTAGTGATGATTGAGCATTATTGAAGACACCTGATGATCACAAGCAGAATCGCTGAAGGACAAAATCACAAATTGTAAGCCACCATTATGGAGATCAGTGTCTGCTTTTGTTGGGCTCTTGACACTTATATTTGAAGCTGGTAATGCTGTTTGTGGAGTTGTTTAATCCTCCTCTGCTGAGATCTTCAGATTTAATGTCTTCTCTTCAGGTGATTTCATCTAAGACTGTCGTCTCTTTTTCTGTTCTCTTCAGAGGAGTAAAGTCCAGGTTCAGAAAGTAAAAGTCCGCCTCAGTATTTTGTTCCAATCACCTGGATTTGCTAATTAGCAGTTTTTCAGTCAGGAGACAGAAATCAGCTGAAATCAACTGTCAATCCGTTCATGGCTGGAATAAACACATGGCAGGACTTCTACTTTTTTTCTACTTCTACTTCTACTTTATACAACACTGCATAAAGGCGTATTTTGAGGATCTACACTAGATAGCCAAAATATTATTTTTTGAATGTTGCTTGCCCAATAGTAAAATAAAAGATTAGGTAGCACCCTCCCTCCCTGACATTTTAATCTCTGCAAAAATGTCTTCTTAATACGAGGGGTCTTATTCCCCCACAGAAAGTATAGGTGGTTAGACTGTCCAGCTTAGTAAAAAAAATTCTTCCTGATAAAAACAGGTATATTTGAAAATAAATAGAAAGACCTTGTTAAAACAGACATTTTGATCAGGTTTGTACGACCGCTAAAGACAGGGGCAGTTCACAAAATCATTTTTACATCAATCCAAAAATGGGCAAAATTGTCCTTAAACAAATTATTAAATGATCTTGTGACTTGTACACCCAAGTATTTGAACCTCTCACATACTACTCTGAATGGGATAGAGGAAGTCTCTACAAGAGGTCGGAGTGATCGGAAAAAACTCACTCTTACTCATGTTAAGCAGATAACTTGCCAAACTACTTTATTTGTGAAAAAATTTGAGGTATTGAGGAGGTTGGGTTTAAAACATATAATAAAACGTCATCTGCATAGAGCTTGGGAACTGACGTTACTGCGACGCCATCGCGCAATGTATTGTGGGGAGTATCCGCCATTTTGTGAGGCCACAAACACAAGCCGGTAACCAAGTTACACTATACAGCAGCTATGTTGGTTGTATTAATTATTTATCTGAGAAAGCTTAAAAATAGTTTACAGAGACAAACTCGAACCGGACGCCAAGAAACGCGTTATGTTGAAAAAAATCAACTTTATTGGAAATGTCGATACGTATGAAGTCCAAAGATCAGTGCACCCGCGACCCTGGCGCCTTTCCTCCCGTCACATTTGCTGATATATTAACTTATTTTGTCAGTGGTGTCAGGGTGTCAGTGCCTATACATCAATTTCGTAATTATAAGTCTCCGGAAGCCCACATTCAGTTTACCAATGGCCTGACATGTCAACGGTGCCAAAGCCTGTCAACGGTGAAAACACTGTCGTCCGAACGAAGGTAAGTTACCAGTTTCCTTTCGTTTTAGCATGTTTCCATAACCCGCAACGTTACAATGATATTAGGCCTACAAGGTTGTTTATTTGTCATTGTAACTTACACACGCTGGTATAACGATACAAATAAATAAATAAAGCCTTAAAGTTGTTATATATTTTTGAAATGATTTATATTTATTAATAAATGTTTAAAATGTGTGGGAAAATCAGTAGCTATTTTAATATCAGTGATAATGGCCATCATTAAAATATGTCATTAACATTCAGCCATAATACTTTAAAATAAATGGTTCTATTGAAGATCTGAAATAAATTCAGAGCTATTAACATTACAGTATTCACATTTCGTTTGTCTTTGTCTATTGCTAAGGTCATGCCCTCTCAGCGACTGAATGAACCGCCAGCAGCCGTGGACAGGTGGAGTGTGCACACTGCACATGAATGGCAGGAGGAGCGGAGATATGTAGACTTGAGTACAGTTGAGATACTTTTTGAGTTTTGATTTTTCACACAAAAAAAGTTAATGGAAAAAAAAGTGAATTTCCACATGACATGCCACATAACATTTCATTAGTTTGTAGACTAAGATATTATCAATCAATTATACCCATAAGTAGTTTATATTTCCACAATTAGCTCATTGTATCTTTGTATTTTTGTATCAACTGTACCCTTATGTGGTGCAGTTGAGACACCCATTTGGAATTATGTAAAGGTAACTAATCGTTCATTGAAAATATAATAAATAAGGACAAATAAAAAAAAAAACAATTGGGCAACATGGTTGTTTATTCATCCATTTCAATTCATTAATTTTATTTAAATTGGCACTGGTTAAAATTTATAAAACAGAAACAATATATTTTATATATTCATTAACAATACACAGTTTAATTATCACAAATATCTCATTTTAATTTCATTTGTGGCTTATGCTGGCTAATTACAATGTTTAACCTGTTATCATAACACTGAACATCTAACATCTACTCTACTATCGGGAGTCCAGATACATGTGTGTCTCAACTGTACCCAGATGGCCACCTCACACATTTCTCTAGATTTTGCATTGACCTTGCATGACACAATCTCATGAAATATGCCAGTTTTTAGGGCGCAGAATAACATTTGTGATGGTACCAGTTATGTTTAACAGTCACATACCCTACACAAACCACTTCAATGTTAAAGTATAATCTCAAATCAATTATGAATTAATTTCATATTAAATAGCCCAATTGAACTGTCTACATTTTTATTTAAATACATTTATTTGGTAAGTAAGGAATTAATGTAAATTAATCAAATTATGAACGCGATTAACTGTTTTAACAATGATGTTTTAAAATATATATTAGTAGCCTATCAATCTAGTTGCTCAACATTATTTGGGCTAATGATAATTCTGATTCTTAACAATAACTCAATTCATTTCTCTAACAGCTGCTGTGACAGTTATTTAACTTGTCATTTGCACAACTTAATTATAATAAATGTAAATTAGCAGTATGAGTTAATCTTACCTGAAAAGTCTGACTATATCTGATTTTTTTTTTTTTTTACGACCTGCTTACATCATCTTTTAAAATGACCCATATCCGATTTTTGCATTTACACTATACACTGCTAAAACTACCAAATGCAGACGTTCTGACCCGGGAAATTAAGCAAAACAGCACAAACTTCAATGGATGCAGATGTGAATAAAATTGTCCAGTGTTTTCTTTCCACAATATTTCAATAAGTCATCAAAACATTGGTCTCATACGGCGGAGAAAAAAGAGGAGAGGATCTGGCCATGAGCACTTAAAACGATGCATCATATCTCGTGAAATGTCTTCAAAAACGGATTTATTTCTGTAACAACCCTGCATTTTAGCCAGCACTCTTCGCCCCAAACACTCAATAGTATCCAGCTGCAGAGTTTCAGAACCCCAGCGCCAGAACCGGAAGTAAGGGGCGGAGTTACGTTCTAACCAACACTAGCGCCAGGGCCGTAAGTGAGGGGCGGAGCTTAGGTTCGAAATCTAGATTTCACAAGAAAGGAAAATATCTTGATCATATCACAACAAAACTTGACAGAGATATATTAGGAAACATATAACATTTAGGAAATAATGGTCTGTTTTTTTTGGTGTATGTGTGTGTTTAAATATATGAATGATATATTACGTAAATCATTTTAGCAACAAATAACGATATTATATCTCCATGAACACATGAAACATCCATAATCTAAACTAGCAGGTATGAAATTATGTCTTCCTTCATAAAATACATTGTCAACCACCAGACATTACATTATATTAAGGTTGAGTTGAAGAAAATATTTTCAGGAGAACGAATACTAATACAATCACAACAACACTTACTACACCTAAACCTGCAACAATTATGTACTTATTCTCTTTTACAACGTGTTTGAACCCACTGTCTCTCTCTAATGCTGTATGTTCACTCTCTATCTCTTCATCTCCGCTCTTCTCCTCCTCTTTCTTCTCCTCCTCTTTTCTCTTCTCTTCTTCTCTCTTCTCCTCCTCTGCTCTCTTCTGTTTCTCCTGTTCAATATATCTCCTCACACTAATTTCTGTCTCTATTTTGACTCTTTCTAATTCCATCTGGTGTTCTCTCTCTCTCCTCTCCTCCTCTCTTATCCGCTCTCTCCTCTCCTCCTCTCTTCTCCTCTCCTCCTCTTCTCTCCTCTCCTCCTCTGCTCTTCTCTCTCTCTCCTTTCTTCTCCTCTCAGTCTCCTGCATCATCTCGAGTGTGTAGCAGGAGTTTGAGTTCTCAGACACGAGTATATCGATCTTCTCTATGAGTTCAGTCACCTGTCCTCTGTTTGCTGGAGCTTTAATGTTAAACTCAAGATATCTCTGCCCACATCGGTTAATAAAATCAGATAATTGAGGATTCATCCTGATCATTTCTGCTAGTGTCCTCATGTGTCTCTGACCTGTGTGAGTGAAGAGCACTACAGTAAATCTGAGAGCTTCTTCACCAAACTTCTGCTCAAACCAACCAGTGAAATCCATCTCCTGCTCAGTGAAAGTGCTTAAAGACAGAAGAAGCAGGATCACATGAGCTCCTGCTGAACATAATTCAAGAGCTTTCTTCAGCTCTGAGTCTGAATCAATGTCAGTGTGAGTGGAGAAGATGAAGTCTGGAGTATCGATGACTGTCACGCTCCTGTTATTAACATTACCAGTGTGTGATTTACAGGATCTGGTCACTGATGAAGAACTCATTACTGACTTAAACACTCGATCGTTAAAGATGATGTTCCCGGTGGCGCTTTTCCCAGATCCGGTTTTACCGATCAACAGCAGCCGAAGATCTTCATCAACATCATCTCCAACTTCTCTCACCTCTGTGTTCTCAAAGTTCTAACAAACACAGAACAACACAACCAATGTTAGTTTAAACACCTACTGTACATATGCTTGTTAAAGTAGTAAAAGTGTTGCTCACCTGATATTTCATGGTCCCTGTTTGCTTCTTCAACAACACTTTCCCCAAGATGTATTCACCAACACTAAACACCAACACAAATATTGCAGGGTTATAAGATGGAAAGATACTCATGATTATTACATTTGATTTCTGAGTCATGGCATACCTCGACCTAGCCCCTTTGCTATGTGCCGGATGGGCTGGATATGTCCAGGGCTGAATTTCAGCCTCAGTCAATTACATCCCAGTTAACAGACTTTTGTTATAATAACGTTCTCCAAATATTCAGTGTTGGTTCTGGGAATTTGAAAAAGTTTTCTTGACGTTAGAGCAGGGTTTCCTCAAATTGGTCCTGGAGGGCCACTGTCCCTGAAGAGTTTAGCGCCAACCCTGATCAAACACACCTGAGCAAGCTAATCAAGGTCTTCAGAATCACTAGGGCTGGGCGATATATCGCACGATATTGTTATGCGCATCTAATCAGTAAAGCCGGTTCCTTGATTAGTAGTAAATCACCTTCACCTGCTTTCAGATGGACGATACGAGTGTTAAATTAACACTCAAGAGTGTTAAAGTTAATGAGATAATTAAGTGAGTAAATGAGAGATGGTTGAGCATTATTGAAGACACCTAAAGCAGAATCACAAGGAGAAAATCTGAATTTCAGGTTCGGGCTCTTGACCCTTATCCTCCTAAGACCCGAGTTTTGGGTGGGAAAGTCCAGGGGTCAGAAAGTAAAAGTACTGCCACATTTTTATTCCACCCACAGCAAAAACTCCAGTGTTAAATGAACTTTATTGGGAGTTTATTTGGATCCAGACTCAAGAGTGTTAAAGATGAACTGAACTGAAACGTATTGACATTGAAAACGTGTTGTTTATGACAATTACACTAAACATTTAAAAAATATATTAATATAGCTTTTTTTAAGCAACGCAAAATTGCTCTTGTTAGCGCTGGCAATTTCGATGAAGTCACTGGCATGGTAGGACCCGTGGAGCTCCATAGACAACCAACGCATTCTCATCCCAAAGCGCCATATACGACGCTTTTGCAAAAGCGTAAATATCCAACGCACATGGCACCCTTTAACGTCTAATGAGACGCTTCGGTTATGGTTAAGTTTAGGTATGGTGTAGGGTAAGGGTTAGACCACTAGGGGGTGCCTTCTGCCCAAATATATCTGCGTCTCATTTGACGTTAAAGGGTGCCATGTGCGTTGGATATTTACGCTCAGCTGCAGGTCCTATATACACAGACGAAAATGAGCACTTTTAACGGCATGGATTACGCATTTGAGCCTGTGAGGGACAGGCCGGTAGTGTCTGACGACCAGCACATGGAGGACGATCAGTTTCAGGCTCCACTCACAGTACAGGATCGTTTTGGGGGAAGTGACTGTGGGCGCGAGCGCTGTGGATCATAGACACTGCACGGAGACAATCTGTTGCAGAGAGGTCAACATGGACATTTATTGATCGGCAAAAAAAGGAATCACCGCCGTGCACCGTTCATTTCGGATGCTGTTTGGTGAGAGAAACGTGTTGGAGGAGGCTATGCTGTCTCTAATGGATGTCCGAGCTGAGACGCGAGCGCCCCATCAGTAACAGTGTATTTTACGAATAGACTAGGCTGGGCTAACTTGTTATACTTTTCTCAGACTGTTTAGATTAACAGCGTACTGGCAGTTCACTCTATGGGCGAGGGTGCATTTAGGAAGGAGAGAATCCTTTACAGTGAACTATACATCAGGGATCTTTTCCCCCTCACCCAGGATCGAGTACGTTAACATGATGCGTTGAACTTGTAGCTAATGTAAATAAAACATTTCATGCATTGTCAGACGTTTCATGTACTTATTGACGAAAGTACACATCTCTAAATATTGTGTCCAGTGTTGTAGTACTCGAGACTCGGACTCGTCTCGGACTCGGTCTCGAGGCCATATTTTAATGGTCTTGGTCTTGTCATGGACTCGTGTGCATTTGGACTCGGAATTGACTCGTACTCGAACATTTTTTCTTTTAGGATTCCCGAGTCCACTCGAGTTCAATTAAATATATTTTCCATGATTATTAATGTATGTAATAAAATATTTCTTTAAATTGATTGACACGCCCAGTGATTGGTGATTTTCTAGTGTGCAACTGCGCATGACAAATTGTAATAAAATTACTTTTAACACCACCTACTATGTGGCCTTTTTACCCTAAACTGATCATATTTTTTAAACTCTAAGTAAATTCAGTAAAAAAAAAAAATTATCTAAGTAAATAAAAGTAAATTAGGTAATCAACCCTCACTGGTCTCGGTCTCGACTCGGACTCGACCGTCTCTGGTCTCAGACTCGACTCGGACTTGACTCTCTCTGGTCTCGGTCTTGACTCGGACTCGACTCTCTCTGGTCTCGGTCTCGACTCGGACTCGAGTGAGGTGGTCTCGACTACAACACTGATTGTGTCGCTAAAAAATCTGTTTCCTCAGCCATGTAATTTAGCCTCAGACTGTTTACAAGCTACGGCTGTTCTGCTGGTGCGGGTAGGCAACGGAGTGGCTTACCATGCCAGTGACGTAGTCGAATATTGAAATCCAACATGGTGGCACCCGTGTAACAAAAACAACACTTTCAATGTACCATTTTATCCCTTTTAACAAATTCTGCCATTTTAAAAATTGTACCAATGAGAATAAATAAAATACATCTGTTATATCACCTTTTCTCAAATTTCAGTTCAGTTCATCTTTAAAGTTAATGAGATAATTAAGTGAATCAGTCATAGAATAAAATGAATTAACAGATCAATAATATTCAACAATATTATTGATCTGCCTAACTTAAGATGGACATTGACACAATTTTCTTCTAAAAACAAACTTCGTTGTATTATTTTCATTTCATCACTGTGAAGTTGCTTTGATACAATCTGTATTGTAAAAAGCGTTATGTAAATAAAGGTGATTTGACTTGACTCCACTCCGTGGACTGGATCAGTGTGATATTCTCCTCAGGTGAGTTTCCCCATTAAACCCTGAGTTCTTCCAGCACTGTTTTACGTCAAAGCCAGAGTTAAGCCTGCGGCAGCTTTCACATTTGGCTAGGTTCCTCCATGTGCATGGTTCCCCTCTGGTGACCCTTACATGTGTATTTCCACTGTAAGACTCAACATGTGTCTTTCCCTTACCAAGCCACCTTGCCACCCCTGGGGTTGAAAAATTTCACCCTGTGGGCTGGACACTCCAGTGTTCTTCCATATGCATCCCTCCGGATATATATATGTGTATTCTGTAAGACCTCCTTTCGGGTGGGTATTTTGTTGCATATTTCCACTGAGATATGCTTCCCAGTGTATCTTGGTATTCCTGTGTTAAGTTAGAGTCCTTTGTCCATGCTAGTCTCATGACAGGGAGCTCACACTGGCGCAGGGCACTGGAAGACCTCCAAAAAGGTAGCGTGATTGGACTGATACCCCTATTTCGGCATCACTCAGCGTAACTCGGACTGACTACGAAAAGGAACGTCTCGGTTACGTATGTAACCCTCGTTCCCTGAGCAGGGAACGGAGACATTACGTCTTCCTGCCACTTCCGCTGTTCAACCTGAGTTCAGTCTTGGCTCCTCAGCAGGAAACATAACTGCATGTTGCATCGTACTTCCTTATATACCCATAAGATGGGGCAGAGCAACATTATGCAAATTCTGCAGACCCATCGCATTTCTTTGCCATTGGCTCGCTTTGTAATACTCAAAGGTGACAGGCTTCTGAGCGAAACCCCATTTCGTTGTCACTAGACGTAACATCTTCATCTTCATCCAGGGAACGAAGGTTACATACGTAACCAAGACGTTTTTTTGTTATTTTATTAGTTGTCTTGCATAATTGCTTGATTTTTTTTTTATATCATATTTATATACAGTATTGTATATAAAAAAAGTAAAAGCAATAACCTTTATTTGCATTTATGTATTTGTCTGATTTGTTATTTTGGAAGTTATACACATATTAGGTGCATGGCACCAGGGCTATGATATGAGTAGAAGGCGATGAGGGCCCACATCAATGTTTTTTTTTTTTTCAGGGGGCCCAGAATTCCCTACGGCAACAACCCATATACAGTCTTGTTCAATATAAAGGGCAAATAATACATTTTACCTTCCATAAGCTTGAGAATTACATTATTCATATTATATATATATATATATATATATATATAAATTATTCTTACGTCTAGACTCTAGGTTTGATCCAGTCAGCTTTGTTTGTTGAGATCATTAGCACAGCTGTTTCATAACATGCTCGATGTTCAGTAGGCCTATGTGCATTCAGGCACGTTAATCGCAAGGTACATTAGCAACAATCTTGTCTAAATTTTAAAAGGAAAGAAATAACTTATATCTAACAAAAATTGGTCAAATTGGCCGAATATGAAGGTTTGGTTCGTTTTAGGTTATGTTTACCAAAAAACGAAAGCAAATGGACACCAAGTCTTTAAACAAAAACATTTAACATGTCCTAATGGATTTAAGATTTTTCATAACCTACTTTCAGCCAATAGCGAGTTAGTTAAATATTCATTAATATAGCGTAAATATAAACTTACAGATACGATGACAAAACAGTCGATGTAAGATGTCTTCCGTCAGAAATGAGCTTCCACAAAATGTCCGTATTGAAATGTTCCTTTCACTTTCAACAGTGGCTCTTACTGAACCCTGTGACAATGTTTGTCTCCAATAGGAGGCGCTGTGATTCCATCAGGTGAAGCAGCGACGAATTAAATAGGCCTAACTGAGGGATCAATAACTTTCACATAAACTTTCACTTTTTCACATAAAAGCTCTAGTCACAGAACAAATAATTAGTTTGAATTATTGTAATTGTAATTTTGTGGAACATGATGGAACGTGACTCGTGACATGGAGTCATATCCTAAAATCCTAATTTCAGAGAAAATAACTGATTTTTTGATTATCATTTTCTTTCATTTTAAATTATACTCAAAACACTGTAGAATTACAAATAATATCTGTAAAATATAAATGCTGCTGATATTTTAGGTATTGTGACATTAATGACCAATTCAGTCATTCACTTTTTTTTTTTTTTTTTTTACAGAAAATTGATTGTATTTTTCATACAGTATTTTTTCTGTTTTCTTAAATTACATAAAAATGTAGCCTATGTAAAATTACAAATATAATCTGTAGTTAAACGGTAACAAAAGTTAAATGATTACATGACTGGCAGCTCAAAAAACTGTAACATTAAAGTAAAACGTCATATATTAAATAAACTGAAAAACACTGTTATTTACAGGCATTTCCTGCATTATTATGATCAAATACCTTCATTGTAAAAAAATCGTTAAAAAAAGGGTCAAATGATTGGCAGCGTGACGTTAACCTGGTCATAACGTTAAACTCATCAAATAGGGTCTAGATCGGTTAAGGATCACAGATGTGTACGACGTAGTGTAACTATAATGAACCTGGGCAGCAGCCTACTCAGGGGCGGTTCTAGACCATTTCAACTGGGTTTCAACTGCCAAGCTGGGTCCAGTTAGAGGGGCCAGTTACATTTAGACCTTGTCATAACATTTTCGGCACTGCAGGTATAAACAAGTAAAATAGCCTACCATGTAAAGCCCGCCCCAATGTTTCTGATTGGTGCCGCGATTTCAACGGATTAGAAATGGGCTTGAATGAGCTATTTGCCAGACTAACTTAACTTTCAGAGCAAATCTAAATTTGCCAGAAGTTGTCTGGGTTTTCCCAGGCTACAAGGAACCGGCTTTACTGACGAGATGCGCACGACAACGTGATGCGATAGGCCTATATCGCCCAGCCCTAAATCAACGGCGCCGAGAGACGAACGAGTGGTGTCCGAAAGTGGTGTTTCTAATATGCTGGTGAGCTCACTATAGTGCTCTATTCCCTACCCACATAGGGGGTAGGGAGTAGGCCTGTGGTTTAAGTGGAGATTTCGGACACAGCCAGAGATTAACTAATCATTTCTGATACAGAACCCAAATTGCGCAATGCGCATGCGCGGGTAACTCAAAAGGAATGAATCACTCTCTGAGACAACTCGGTATTGTCCACTCCCGAGTCTAACGTCCCAATCACAACTGCCAATCAAGTTAAAAACAGCTTCACTGTGAATATAATATGTGTTGTCAATATAATATAATATTTTGTGAATATACATTTTAAAGGTCTACATATGAGTACCCAATCTACAGCCAAGACATAATTTAGTTTTTGCCCAGAAGTCATGATCCCTTAACTTACTGGTAAGAGAGAGCAGTAATCTTTCCTCATTTGTATGTCTTTCCTAAAAAAAATATCTTTGCATGCCAGCAACAAGAATCTCTTGTGAGAGAATTTTTTCAAAGGCTGAAGAAATTATCTGTAAAAAAAGAAGTAGACTGAGTCCTTCGACAGCAGAGAAATTAATATTTTTGAATAAAAATGAATAAAAAAAGTGAGACATTGTGGCTTGATTTCTTTTATTAATATTCATTTTTCATGAACAAAATAGCATTATGCAATGTGATGAGTCTACAGGTTACAAGCTTCATATGTTAGAAAAGTACAATAATAAAAAAACAACACATTTTTACTGGCTCGTTGAAAAGGTTGTTTCAGATCAACACCTGCAAGTGACCACTAGATGTCACCGTGGAGACGGGTGTCTGATTGATTCGAAGCCTGAAAAAAATATCGCACATTTGCTTCAACTGATTCATTGCTTCACAAAGCCTCGATCTGCCCACCCCTATTGTTGGTTGCAGCATAACTGCGATTCTGCATAAATATCCAGAATTTAGATATAATATAGAAGATTTCCAAGAAATTGTTAAAAAAAAAATCTTTCTTTTAGGCACACACAGACCTCAAGATTCAGTAAATGCATCTCAACAATGGTGACAAGCAGAATATTCAATTGACCCTTCGCTAAACTACGCCCAAAAACTGCCACTGGCCAATCATGTCTTAGCAAACGTAACTAGTTATGGGAGGTATGGCAAGCTTTTGAGCAAGGGAATCATGCCAACGCGTTGTGTGTATGGATTGTGCAAATCTGACACCCGGTATCCTCAAAGTTTGGATGGGGGAGTGCATTTTTTCCCCTTCCGGAACATCTAAAAGGCAAGGGGAGAAATGATGGGCGTGGATCAAGCAGTGGGAGACCCATTCACAGCTAAATGAAGACAGGATTAACACAAACACCTAGCTTGGAATAATGACCGTTCTTTGTTCATCATGCATATATTTAACGTAAAATAAAACCATTAAAGACAAGACTGAGGCTCACTGACATAATTTTTAATATATTTCAGCATTTTGTTAATCGACGGCCAACTCCTGACTGAGTAACTTTAACCCAATCCGATCTCGGCTCTCCCGGTGTTACCGTTTTTCCACAAGATATATGGATAAGCAGTTTGATTTATAAATATTAGATTATTTTCACATTCACTTACTCTGCTGAGCACAAGCATAGCTGTTCCTCAATTTGTGTGTTACCCAGTTGAATGGTCAGCATATGAGGCGGCGTCTGCTTGCGCTGGGACGATAGGCTTTAGCTTAAATTTTTATGAAATTATTCTCTACTCGATTGCATATTATGTCGTGGATATATCCCTCGAATGCATACTGCAGTCCCTTTAGTCAGGCTCTCTCAGATATTTCACATGTTCACCAAAAATGAGTAAATATCTCCTTGGAAATGTCTGACACCGGTGCACACACTGCAAAAGACGTGCCAGGCGTGAAAGCTTGACAGGCGTAGCAACAGTAACTAGGGAGGGCGGGGCTTAGTGAAGGGTCAATTAGGAAAAGTAAATTACATAGATGATTCAGATCATAATTTATTCATACCGCAATGCATGATGGGAGCCATTAATGAGTTGTGATTGGTGAGATTCACAGGCTGATTATTGATGCGTTTCTAAATAAATTTATTTGAAAGTTTTTTGTTTTTTTTTACCAGAACAATGTTTAATAAATATTTTTTTGATTATTAGAAAATAATGATAATCATATATTGCTGAATTACAAAGCTGTTGCTAATAAGTTGAACTAAATCATCTCAATAAGTTTCATTTATCAAATCACAGCATGATGATGCCAAAACATTACCAACACTATCAGATCACACTTTTCTTTGTTCATTTGACTGTTATAAATCAATAACAGCAGACAAACAAAATTGAAAGTGAAAGTATAAGGGTCAAGAGCCCAACTAAAGCAAACATAACCAAACACTTGTTATTATCAGGTGTCTTCCATAATGCTCAATCATCACTAAATTAATCACTTAATTATCTCATTAACTTTAACACTCTTGAGTGTTAATTTAACACTCATATCTGCATCATATCTTCCATCTGAAAGCAGGTGAAGGTGATTTACTACTAATCAAGGAATCGGCTTTACTGATGAGATACGCATAACAATGTATTTGTTATATATATAGCCCAGCCCAAGTACATTAGTATAGATTGTAACTTGGGGGACAAAAATGGACCCCTGCTGTACCCCTTTTTCTGAGAGTGCAGACTTTGTGGTGGAAGGGTCCTTAAAATGGATTAAAGGGATAGTTCACTTTAAGATTAAACATGATTTAATGACTCATAAATGTAAGTACACATTGATGGCCTAAGACACAAAACGAGTGGTTTGTGTGAGAAAACGTACAGTATTTATATCGTTTTTACCTCTTGTAATCACAGCCATGTCCAAGTGATCTGAGGTAGAGGTCTTCACGGGTCCAAAAATTCATGCCCGACCCGGAAGAGACCCGTAATGTGCTACACCGAACCGACCCGGACCCGTCGTTCATTTCAAAAGTTGGACCCGGACCCGTGCAGACCCGAGAAATGCCATAAATGTACTGCCCGGACCCGACCTGGACCCGTCTATTATTTGAAAACTGGACCCGAACCCGGCAGGAAGACACAAACCCGACTGGACCCGATTGTCACATATTATTTCACACGAGTTGCGAAAAATAAAACTTTTTGTCTTACCTAATTTTAGTAGTCGTCGTCTCACTTCCTGACGTTATCTGACTGACTGTGATGCATTCCAATCCACCGACAAGAAAGTTCTATCCATGTTATTTCTCTCGTTTTTCCAAGCTTAATCCACTCATTATTTCAGCTTTAAAAGTCCACTTGATGTCACGGTGATGGATGAAAAATGCAGCCTTGCACATGCACATTCTGACTCGAGTTAACTCGCATAATAACTTTAACTGTTTGCCCTTTTGAACTATAATAACGATTGCTTGTTCAGCTTGATCATATCTGTGCTCTCTGCTCTTCATTGAGTCTGAATCTGACCACCAAAACTTTAAGATTAAACAAGACGGTTCATTTATATTATTATAAACATTGGAGAAAATGCAAAGCGCGGTTTGGCGGAAGCTCTGCTCTGGTTGCCATAGAAACATGACACGCGCTTGAGATTGCACTCCGATCGCACGTGTATTACCAGCCCGTTCTCAGCGCGTGTTATATTAACGATAACGGGTGCCATGTGAGTAGTATTTCGCCGTTTTGTTATACAGCGCGTCCTATATGACGCTAAAGGATGAGAATGCGTTGGTATTACACACAATGTTAAACAGACCCGGGACCCGAAGTAATAGATTCGGACCCGACCCGGACCCGGCTGCTCATTTAAAATATAGACCCGAACCCGTACGGGTCCCGGGTCGGGTCCGGGGCCGACGGGTCTCGGGTGCACTGTGAAGACCTCTAATCTGAGGGCGCAGGCGCTTTGTGGCTGTGATTACACTAGGTAAAAATAATATAAATACTGTTGGTTTTCTCACACAAACCGCTCGTTTTGTGTCTTAGGCCATCAATGTGTACTTACATTTACGAGTCATTAAATCATGTTTAATCTGGACTTCTCTGTGCATGCTCTTTGAGGTGGTGACCATAGACCTCCATTATATGACTGACAGACAAGAACGGTTTGACCTAAAAATATCAAAATTGAAAATACTGTGGAAACAAAGACACCTACATCTTAGATGCCCTTGAGGTAAGATAAAACATATCAAAAATATATTTCAAAGTGAACTATCCCTTTAATACATGATAGAATGATGGGTTAAATAAGTTTCTTTATTGTATAAAGGACTTTATAAATAAAGGTGACTTGATATTTATTTGAAATCTATGAATTGTGTTTTATGTTTTAGGCTTAATTTAAAAGTTACCATCTCTGCTCGGAATCTATCATATCAACTTTAGCACTCTCTCAATCTCATCTCGTCTTAGTTTCTCTTGTTTTCTGTCCTCGTCCTCTCTCCGACTCTTTATTTCTATGCTTTCTTTTTCAAAATTAAGTTGAGCCTCCTTCTCTGCAGCTTCCATGTCTTTTACCTCATTTCTCATTCTCTCAATCTCCTCTTTTATTCTATCTTTTCTCCTCTTTTCTTCATCTAGTCTTTGTTTCTCCTCTTCTTGCTTTTTCTCCGCTTCATGTTTTTTGATGTAATACACTGCGCCACCTCCAACTAAAGCACCAACACCAACACCAACTAAAGCACCTACTCCAGCACCATATAAAACAAATCCACATTTGGCAGTAGCAGCACCAACCACTCCACCAACCACTCCACCAACCACTCCACCAAGCAATCCACCCAGAGCTACACTATCTAAAATACAACGCCAAAACTTGGATACAAATGTAAAAAATCCAGTCTCTTTTTTATTTGCTCCATCTTTTTCCTCTGGTGTTTTATTCTCTAAAGCTTCCATCTCTGCGCTGATTCTATCCCCTGTCATCTTTATCACTCTCTCAGTCTCCTCTTGTCTTTGTTTCTCTTTTTGTTTTCTCTCCTCGTCCTCTCTCCGTCTCTTTACTACAAGTCCCTTTTGTTCAGTCTTCAGTTGATCTTCAATCTCTGCTCTGATTTTCTCTTTTGTCTCCTTTTTCACTCTCTCAATCTCCTCTTGTCTCCTCTTTTCTTCATCTTGTCTTCGTTTCTCCTCTTGTTGTTTTCTCTCCTTTTCCTCTCTCTCTTTTCTCTCCTCCTCTCTCTGTCTCCTCTCTTCTTCCTCTCGTCTGAATCTCTCAGCATCTTCATACATCTGATTACTGTAGTGTCCTCCTCCATTCTGCTCTATCATTGTGTCAATCTTCTTCAGTAGATCATTCACTTGATCTCTGTTATTCATTTCTCTATTGTTGAAGATGTGAAATCTGCCTCCACACTGCTGAACTAGATCTCTTAATCCACAGTTCTCCTCAATGAGTTTCTCTACAGACTTTCCTTCTAGCTGATCTCCATTAGTGAAGAGAATGATGGAGTATTTTAACACTTCTTTACCAAACAACATCTCAATAATCTGAGGAATCTGCTGCTCATGTTCAGTGAATCTCATATTCACAGGAAACACGATGAGGAAAGCGTGCGGTCCAGGACTGGATATATAAATACTTCTCGCTATCTCTGTCACTAACTCTTCAGGCTTCATCTTTGTGTCAAAGAATCCAGGAGTATCAACTACAGTCACAGATCTGCCTGAAACAGTGGCGTGAGCAGCTGAACAAACACGGGTTACTGAATTCATTCTCTGTACAGAGTTAAACTCTCTCTGTCCCAGTATTGTGTTTCCAGATGCACTCTTCCCAAAACCAGTTTTACCCAGAAGAACAATCCGTCTGGATGAGGGACTGGCAGCAGGATAGCAGGAGAGACTGTCTGGTTCAATGTTGTCTGGTATTTTCCTCATCCATGGATTCTTCTCTGCATCTTCTTCTATTACATGATAAAGAAAAAAATCCTTATTAAATTAAAATAATATGGATTAAAATGTCCATGGATATGTATTATTATTATAAAAGACTCACCTGTGTCCATGTATGACTTAATTATTTTTGCAAGCAGCATTTCAGCTTGTAACGTCTTGTTATTTTCCTTCTTGTTGTTGAACACGTGATATCTCTGATCATATTTCTGAACGAGTTTCTTCAGTGGTTCAGTGTCATCAAGGAATTCATCTATTGTCATATTTTCATTTTCTAATTCATCTGCTCTGGTGAAGAGAATCCAGGTTTTCTTCAAGCGCTCTTCTCCCAGCAGCTCCTCAATCTTCTCCACAGTCTTTCTCTCTTCTTCAGTGAATCTGTCAGCTTTGATGACCAGCAGAAACACACAGAGATCTGATTCACATCTCTGAAGAACCTCTTCATATTTCTGCTGAATCTCCTGTTCTCTCATCTCTGTATCAAATAATCCTGGTGTGTCATAAACAGTGACTGGAAACCCTTTAACAGTTCCAGATTCAACAGCAACATCTTGTGTGACTGATCTAGAGCTTTTCTTTGATTTGAAAGCTTCTCGTCCCAGTATTGTGTTTCCTGATGCACTCTTCCCAGCTCCTGTTCTTCCCAGTAGGACAAAATTAAAACCTCCTGTAGTTTGTTCCATTTTCAAGTTGTGGCATGAGGATAAAAAGTGCTGTAAGGAAAAAAAAGCACACACATAACCAATCTTTCAAAGATTCTCAGCAAAATCCCCAGAGTAAAAATTATTCTGCTCAGAGAACATTTGCTCCTTCTCCACATATAGTTAAACTAACTCTGAAACTGTTAGTTATTGAGATAATTACTGTAAAGGGGTCATGAACTGGCTTTTTAATTTTTTTTTAATATTGTTGTCTGAGCTCAACTTATGACGTTCGCTTGGTTTTTGCATTCAAAAACATCAGAATGAATAAGTAATAGGCTATTTCCTACCCTAGCTTTGAGCCTAGCTAAAAAAGCAGTTTTTATGGGTGTCTCACACTGAAGACTTGGAAGTAAACGCCCACTGCGGTGAGTGGAGAACAGTTTTACATATTATAATGAGTTTCACTCTCGATCCCGTTTGTCATCACGAGGTAGGAATCTATGTTATTTAGCTATGCGTGTAATGCGCGAATCAGTGGGTGGGGCTAAACTGGCCGTGTTGAAGTAGGCGTTGATCTTCTTCTGCGGGGGTGGTGTTTTATCCTCTTTGACGTCGTTAGTGATGGCAAAACGAGGCTTCCCATTGCTTCACCTAAAAGGTTCATTACTCGAAGCTTCATTCAACATTCATAGGAGCATAGTCTGGGGGTTGCCTTTTTCTCCTCATCTCTCATTTCATGCTGTATTTTTCCCTCAATTCCTTCCTGTCCTGTATAAATGAAGATACTGATGCTTCTGTTGAGCCCAGCCCCAGACGGGGAGGATCTCCTCTTTCTTGCTGGCTCCATTACCAGGAAAAAGAAAGAGTCGCAAAAAGCAAACACATCCAGAAGGGCAATCCAAAACAAAAAGCAGCCAAGTCCAGATCCAAAAGTCCAAAGAAATCCAAATAATCTTATTTAACTAATATAACAAGAGTATGACATATAAATATTAATAACAATATAAGTATTCTAACCTGATAAAAACTTATAATATACAGCTCCAACCCATATATGACACAATAACAACAATGCCAATGAGATTTCTATAACTCTCTGACACTACACCTGTTTCTACTACTCCTGCAACACCCAGAAGCTGGCGCGAGCTTCGAACCCCCTTTATCCGGAAGCGACACTCAGACTGAACCGATGACGTCACACAAACCAAGGCCTCGTTTGTCACTAGTCACGTGATTTTCACGTTAACAACACAAGCCTCGAATCGCGGCTTCATCTGGCACGCCCATTTTTTCTCGACACAAGCTCCGACGCCTTGGTTCAAATGTCACGTCACTAGACGTCATAGTTCCCCACTTTGAAAAACGAGTCATTTACTGAGCCTGGTGTCATTAAAGGGATACTTCAGGGTTAAACTTCAGGATAGGTTAAACTTGTCTTTATTATTTCCCAATGGTTTCCCTGCACATTCTCCACTTGTCCTGTTTAGCCTGGCTGGACAAGTGTCAGATGAGAGTTAAACTCTTTGAGAAATATTACTTGCCATTGTTGTACAAGTGATTGCAATAGGCCTGTGTGTGTGAGAGACAAATAAGGCTATGTTTATTTTAAATAAAATGCTATTGAATTTAAATGCTAAATATATATATATATATATATATATATTGTTATTGGTTGTGAAAAGGAAATGGTTCTTCCATAACACTGCACTTTAGTCGTGTGTGAATTTCCCACACCAGGAGTAATTTAAATAGTTCTGTTTTATAGCAATTAAAAAAATGTTCTATGCAAACTGTTCTATTAAAGAGAAGATAGAAAATAAATATTTGTGTGTGCTGTAAAGTGGTTTGAAAAAATGAAATCGGAATCGGCTTAAATCGGTATCAGCAGGTCAAACAAAGGAAAAATCGGATATCGGTATCGGCCTAGAAAACTGTAATCGGTGCATCTCTAGTAAAAATTACATTTTCTGCCTTTTCTCAATCAAGAATGCTTCAATTTCACAAATAATTTTACATTTCTACTATATAAATGCCAATATTAAATGCACATTCATCTTCACAGATGTTCAAGTCTCAAGTCAGCTACCATTAAGCAGAGGTGGAAAGTCCAGGGGTCAGAAAGTAAAAGTCCTGCCATATTTTTATTCCACCCATGAACTCACACAGCAAAAACTCCAGTGTTAAATTAACTTTCCTAGGAGTTGGCTCCAGACTCAAGACTAGTAAATGCCGCTCCATCTGAAAGCAGGTGAAGGTGATTTACTACTAATCAAGGAACCGGCTTTACTGATTAGATGCACATTACAATATCGTGCGATATATCGCCCAGCCCTAATATTGCCCAGCGCTACTCAAGAGTGTTAAAGTGTTACAGTGAGTGTTAAATTAACACTCAATAGTGTTAAAGTTAATGAGATAATTAGCTTCATTAGCCTACTATAATATTGAAGGTAAAACTACCTGATTTGTACAAAAACACTTAAAGGCACACTGCGGAACTTTTTGGCCACTAGATGGCGCTCGACCTGTAACTTTCACGTCTAGCGTAGAGGCCACAAGTGCCCCCGGCTGTCGCAAATTAAAGTCAACAAACAGTCAAGCGGTCAGCCCTCCCGTGTCTTTAGATTGTGTGTGCTTGCAGTGTTTGAGGCGAGCAGCCGTGCCGCGCTTGATTCCGTTACAGCAGTCGGCTGAGAGAGAGTGAGCGGGGTGATCCCCGTGGGGATTATCATGTCTGTGAGTGAATGTGGGCGTGGGACAGCGGGCACATTCACTGCACTGAAAACACCGTCGGCCTGAGCTGACTGTAACGTTATGTGTGTTGCCTTATTTTTACAGAAACCGTGGGACATGTTGTGTGTAACGTTAGTGTTTGTGGGTACCACTGAGTCGTGGGCGTTCACTACATTTAATGTAACGTTATATTTGACATGAGTCGATTTTATTAGTGCGAGCCCTGCACTGAGGCGGGTGGTGTTTGTAGAAATGAACACTGGGTTGTGGGCATTTTATTACTCTCATAACACCATCAGCTGTGGCGGAATACTAGAAAATACTACACTGCTTATATTAATTTATCTGGGTTACCTTGGAAACGGCATTTGTGTGCAGGCAAGCGTCCGCATCGGTCGAGCACCTTCCGCTCACGCCAGCGAGCGAAGCGAAAACTGGACTAATGTTAATCCTCGTCCTGGCTTTTAATTTGTCACTCTCCCCTTTTCTTTTTTTAGTTTCCTCTGATAAAACCGTTGCCTTCTTCCTTGTAGCTGTTGTTCGGCCATGACGAAAACATACAGACGGCAGTCAAACGCGAGTTGAGCACTAACGTCAGAATCTGAGGAAGTTGTGGGTGGTGGGGGAAGTGACGTATGTTGTAAAGCGGTCGAATTTTGTAGCTGTTTTTGTGCTCAGGTTCCTACCCGAAACCCGAAGTTACAAAGTGCAAGTAAAAGTGATACAGACACCTTCAGGCTTCGGCAGACGTGTCATTCAACCTATTGTAAGTCAATGTACCTTCTCAATCGGTTTTGGTAATATATAATAAAGGTTGAAGAGTTTCACAGTGTGGCTTTAAATTACACTTTTATTTATTTTTATAATAATAATGTTATATGAAATATAAACATGTAAATGGTGGCTCCATAAAAACTTCCCAGATTTTTTCAAACAGCATGCATTAAATATTGAAAATAATTAAAAATTATAATGAATATGTAATATGGTGCATATATTTGGCAAAATGCTCCTCTATAGTTAATTTTTCTAGCAGACTAACGAGTTTATGGTCACTAGATATGTTTTTTCTGAGGTAAATGTGACGTTACATTACATTGTTTACACGCGTTTTACTGACGTCTTTCCACGGTTGAAACGCTGATTGAGCGATTCCATGTGAAAGATACAGATTTCGATAAGTTGTACTCTATCTTATAATACACTTTCAGATCCTTGTTCATGTTTATATCGCGCTGTAACTGGTATTATTAAGGCATAAGAGGAGATCATGTGCGCTCCGCCCTGCTGCTTCTCTTGAGCTGAGCTGAGCCAAAGCGATTTCACGCCACAGCGTCAATACACTATTTATATTTTGGAATTTCGTAAGAAAATTTACCTATTTTGAAATCTGAGACTTTGTTTCATATCAATAGTAACAAAGCACAAAGATTATTGCGATTTATTGGATGGGATGTGCGCTACAATGTTCCATTCATTCATCAACTGAAAACAGCATAGCCCAACGGTTCCTAAAAATGAGAATGATTAAAATCGAGAAATCATTATTTTTTTACCTAGCCCTAGTTCAAGTAGTTTTTTAGTTTTTTAAAGTTTCTTCGTCGTTTGTTTCTTCTGCTGCTGATTGCCGTAACTGATTCTCTGGTGTTCATGTCGCAATTTATTTCATATCACACAGCACGGAACATTTTAGTCCTATATCTGAACCACAGCCAATCAGAGGCAAAGACCCGGCCAATCTCTGATTGGTTTAGACCAGGATATGATCCAACCGTGCGTGCAAGGAGAACATAAGACTTGTTTGTGGGGAGTCAGCAGATGCGATCATTAGGTGCACTGGTGCTACCTAGGAAGAATTTTGGTGCGACCTAGGAAAAATTTTTGGTCGCACCCTTACAAATTTTGGTCGCAAAGTTGGGACCAAATTGGTCGCACTCTAGAGCCCTGCACAGGCATCATGAATCAGCATATGAATCTCAACAATGGTGACAATCAAATGTTTTATGCTGCAATACATGTTGGGTACCAAAAAAATCCATGCCTCCCAGCATGCATTGCAGCATGAATAAATTATACCGCTGAATTGTCTGCTTATATGCTTTAATTTGTACTTTTTGCTTTTATTTTTGCTTTTGGTTTTGTGTTGACTTTTAGTTGCGTATTTTGGGATGTTCAAATGTAATGTTATCTTTTTTTGTTTAACATCACCATTTCTGAGATTCATTGGCTGCTTCTTGATGTAAGGGTGTGTCCAAGTAAAACCATAGTTCAAAATTTTTTAGTGAATGATGAGTTTAAAAATCCAGTCTAGGAAAATGTTCTACACATTATTGAAAAGGAACAGACACAGGCTGAGATCGGTGATCCAAACATTATATAATGACATCATAATCATCAACAACTGATCTCATTTTTGTTGTCCTTGTTTTTGTCACAACAAATGTGTCTTATGAACACACAGTTAGAGTAGGCAAAGAAAAGCTTATGTTAAAGTCGTTAAAATCATGTTTTTAATGAATTCGCTATTACATATTAGATGTTTGCAGTTTTATTTAAAGAGATATTAATTTACAGTGGACTCTAATGAAGGAATTGAACGGTACTATCAGGATAAGGACTAGTTTTTGAACTCGAACAGTTTAAAGCATTCAGTTTTCCGTTTTATATGATTTGCCTGCCATGGTATTTTACGGTAATATATTTTCAAAAAGGAGAGCTGTAAATTAACAGTACATTATTGGCAACCACAGCTGCCAGTAGATTACCATTATTTTACAGGGCATTTTTTTACAGTGTAGGCTACTTAAAGTTTTGTTTTGTAGACAGTCTTTCTTTAAAGTTTATTTCGTTTTTTATAAGTTGTATCTTTATTGTAATCAATGTTTCATCAACAAATTTGTCTGGATTCATAAATAAGAAGCAAATATAGTGGACAGTGATCAGGAAACAGAGGCGCTGGCGCATGAACTGGAGCGTGTAAATGAACCGAAACTCTGCGTATATAAACTACTTGCCTCACAGACCTGTATATCTATAGAAAGCTTGAAATGTGTACTTTTAAACAAAACAATTAAAAACTAAAAGAAATGGGAAGAGCTCAGTGAAGATCCTCTCACTGTCCCCCACTGCAGTCTGTACAGAGTGCTATTACACACACACACAGTGGTTTCAGTGGGACAAGAAGAGCTCCAGCACTGGAGGAAAGTCCAAACTGAGACTCAAGCTTCTCTTCTTCTCCAAACTCACCTCATGAGACGCCACAGTCTCCATCAGCGCCAGATCTTTCTCTTTCTGCTGAATTCTCGTCTGGGTGTTTCCCTGCATTTTTTTCAAAATGTCTCTGCAGAAAACAGAAATATCAATAAATTTACACATTTGAATTGTTGATTAAGTTGATAAATTGATAAAGCTGAGGATGCAGACTCGCCATCTTCACTGTTAGTGAACTATAGTTAGGCTATAGTTATAGAGAGAAATACACACTTTATATGAATTAGCCACATAAGCAGAGAGTAGCCATGTGAGTATTTATACAGGTAGGTGTATATGCATGGAAGTTTATATGTATATGTGAGTATTTACGTGACCCAGAAGTAATAGTAAATTAATATGGCCTATCAAAATAAAAGCCAAGGTTTTAGAACGGTCATAATATGCAGCACTAACGTTATACCAGAGTGACGTTAGTCAAGAAGAATCAATGAATAAATAGGTTTATATAAACCTGGACTGGAATAAATATGTTAGCAACAGTAGTTTATTACAGCTATTTAATATCATGCCTATCCAAACATCACCAGTCACGTTTAATGAGCGCATTGTTTGGCTCATTAAAGTTGGTAATATAGGTAGAACTTATTATGTGTGCAGAGTTGTTGCTGATAGTATGATAGTATATCCCAAAGCTAGCAATTGTTTTAATGTAGATCTTCAAACGGAAAAATGGAAAAAGGAATTTCAAAAAAACTAAATCGGACCGTTATTTTTATTTTGGTTTTGTCATTTTTCGTTTTTGGATTCAGAAACAAAAACGGGAGAACGGCTCTTTTTTACCGTTTCTTTGTTTTTGGTTTGAAACGACAAACGAAAAAAGGTTTCTCCTTATTTTGTTTTGTGGTTAAAAAAAAAAAAAAAACTATCAAAACGTACACGGACCAACCAGACTCTCGTACATACATTTCATTTGTACTGAAGGAAAATGAAATTGAGCAAAACTGCGTAGGATGGCGCAGCCAGGCTACATCTGTCCTGCAGCAGTGGCAAAAATAATGTAGGACGCTTTTACTGGTATACGTCACATCAGTTGTTGCCAGGCAGAATTCTTCCTGGTATGTTCTGATACGGAGTTATGAACAGATGTGAAAATAACTCAAATAACTGCACAGTAAAGTAACAAACTGTAGTTTTCATCATATGGGATTGTACGTGACGACCAAAAACGACTATTTTTTATAAATTATAGGTGAATTATTTATAAAAAAGGAAAATTTTCTCTCGATGCGACAAACAAGGAAGTAGGCCTAGTGCACGATCATAAAATAATTACAATGTCTTGCAAACACACGGTGATCTGAGCAGATCGAATATCTAAGATTGCAACTGTTTAAGATAATGACAGATTTTAATTTAATTTAATTAAACCTGGAAAAGTAGTTATCATTTGTAGACATTTTAATCCCAATTTTCTCCTAACAATTGTGAAATTCTTTCGATCTTTAGGCATCCCAAGTTAAATTTGATTAAATTATGAAAATGAGATCATAATTTATGATCATTATTCATGATGGCGTTTTAAAAGATCTATTAATTAGCCTAGTCTCGTATAGCCTATTAGGCTAACTAATATGAGTTCAAGTTAATGTCTCTCGCACAATCGCTGCGAAATTAAGCAACTTAGGCTAATAAAGGAAAATGTGCTGTCGTTATTAATCTTACCTTCACAAGAAAGTACTTCGAGATAAAAGTTGTATTCAGATGCACTCGCGATGTTTAGGCTACAACAGTCTGAGATCTTCTTCTTCTTCTTCTGTTTTATGGCAGATCATATCTTTACGACATATACCGCCACCTACTGGACTTACTACACAGGAGTGTGTAACAAGGACGTTGGCAAATGATACATCAAATCATAAAATCAAAAAAAAAAAAAAAAATTCTATATTCTTCTACTTAAACCAGTATCATTAAGATATGTAATTAAATATGTGCTTCTTTGTCCCTGTATTCCCTGTTCCTGTAAAATATTATGAATATCATTTTCTGCAGCGTCTTTCCATTTCTGTCTGAATTTGTCAAATTTTCTACAATTAAATAAAACATGGGTGACATCTTCCAGTACTTTGCATTCTGAACATATACCATTACTTTTACCTATTAAGGATAAGGTGGAATTAAGGCCTGTGTGGCCCAACCTCAATCTGGTTATCATACCTTCTTCATGCCTATTAAGACCCAAAGAGGTGATTCTTTTTCCTCCAACATATTTCTGGTTCCTATGATAATATCTGGCATTACTCTCTAACTCCCATTCATCTTGCCATCTTAGTATAATCTGTGATTTAATGAAAGCTTTAGCATCTCCTTTACCCAATGGAATGTAAATTTGTACTTGGTCTAATTCTAAAGCTTTTTTAGCTAACTCATCAGCAATTTCATTGCCATCAATTCCATAATGTCCTGGAATCCAACAGAATTGTACTACTAATCCAAGGCTTATGAGATTTAAAAGAAGATGCTTTACTTCTAATACCAAGTCTTCACGTATTGCATTATCTGTTATAAAACTTTGTAATACTGCCATAGAGTCAGTACAAATAACAGATCTCAGAGGTTTAATCTCTTCTACCCACCTAAGGGCAGTAATTATTGCAGTCATCTCTATTGAATATACTGTTAAATGGTCACTCACTCTATATCCATATCTTTTTCCAAATTCTGGAATGTAAATTCCAATACCACAATGACCGTTGGATTCTTTAGAGCCATCTGTAAATATTTTCAAATATCCAAAATATGAATTATTTAAATAACGTAAGCAGGCTTCAGTAAAACTTTGCTTAGTGAGATGGTCACCTTTTCCTGCTAATAAATTAATATTTACCTCTGGAATAGGAAGCAGCCATGGAGGAACACAACTTAACGCTAGTGTTGGGCCATACTTCAGCTCTTTTAATCCATAATGGTTTACTAAATTGTCAATGTTCCAACCGAACCCACAGCCATTGAACTTTTTATAATATTCCCAACAATCACTAAGTACTGACAAAGCTGGGTTGTTAAAACTACCTTTTAACCTTACCCAATAAGTTAGTGATAATTTCTCATACCTTAAATTAAGAGGAGTTTCCTTAGATTCAACTAATAAAGCACTTGTTGGAGTTGTTTTAAACGCACCAAGGGCAATCCTCAAAGCCTTAAATTGCATTCTTTCAATTTTCTTGAGGGATGTCTTACAAGCTGAGTTATAGATTATACAGCCATAATCAATAGTTGATCTTATCAACGCTTTATATATGTTCATCAGAGACAGCCTGTCAGCTCCCCAATTATGCCCAGTGACCATTCTCATAAGATTAATTACCTTTTTACACTTTGTTTCAACATATTCAATGTGACATTTCCATGTAAGTTTGGCATCTAACCATATTCCTAGGTACTTATATTTTTTCTTTCTTTCAAGTTTCTGATTATAAAGCATAATTTTATAAGTTTCAGGGACTTTTTTCCTAGTAAAATACACCACCTGTGACTTTGAGATAGAAAATTTAAAACCCCAATCAATTCCCCACTGTTCAAGTACTTGAATGTCCTTTTGAATTTTATCATTAACATATGAAATGTTACCTCCTCTTCTCCAAATAATAGCATCATCTGCATATAGTATACTATATACTATATACTATAGTCTACGTAGACCTTCATTACCATCTCCCAATTTTTTTTTTTTCATATATGTCATTAATCATTATGTTGAACAATATAGGACTGATAACACTCCCCTGAGGGATTCCATTTTCAACAATAATTTCATCAGACACTGTATCACCCACTTTAACCCTGATGGAACGTTGAGAGAGAAAGTCAAGTATATAGTTATACATTTTCCCATTAATTCCTAATTTTCCTAATTTAATCAATAAACCTTCTCTCCACATAGTATCATAGGCTTTCTCAATATCCAGAAAAACTGCCGCCATTACTTCTTTCATTACTAAAGTCTTTTCAATTTCATTGCATACTTTAACCTGTTAACTGTCACCCCCCTTTTTTTGAATAGACATGAAAATGCACATTTCAAACTTAAATGGCTGTAATTCAAGAATGCTTTGGAATATAGACATATGATTGGTCTTGTTTTAAAGAAGAGATTTGGCAGATTTTTGTAGAAGTGAAATAAATTAAGAAAGTGAAACAGAAAAAAAGTTATAGAAGTTTGAGTTTATGGAAATGTACAATGTAAAAATATTAATTATTCATATTTTACATAAAATATATATTTTCAAAACCTGGGCTACTCTAAAATGGCAGAAAGATCAAAGCCAAAAATCTGAACAAGTTGTGTTTCAAATTTTAGGTTGATATCTCAAAAAATGAGCTTTCAATAAGATTTTGTTTGAGCGCAGTACCAAACTTTTTCACTAGGGCACAATCAGACTCCATTACTGCCCATATAAGGGCGTCTGCATTTCCATTCGTGTTTGGAGTGATATGAACCATTATTTTCACAATTTTCATACAATTTCTGAAGTAGAGATCCTATTCAGAAGTAGCATGGGAAGTTTGGCAGATTTTGATATGAATTGAACCTCTAAGAAACACATACAAAGAACACGCATGTAAGTCATAGCTAGCTGCCACGTCACAAATGGTGAATTTATTATTTTTTTCTTGATATTTCAAACTTTTCAGACATTTTTTTCCAAAATAATTGAATGGATTCTATCTTTTGAACTTTTGGCATGAAAACAAACTGAGGTATCTACCATTTTTTCATGATTTTTCATGTTTACTGCTATTTTTAAATAAAGGTCTGAACACGCCTTATGAGTATGAAAATATTCTTGTTTTATATTGATAAATTATGGCTCCTCTGTAATATATTTTGAAAATCAGTCACCAAATATGGAAACTAGAGATTGTAAGCTTTCAAATGATATATAGTTTGTCAATATTATTTAAGGTATTTACTAAGATATTATTGTTTTAAAAATATAGTGGCAAACGTCCCACCTGTGGGACGGTGACAGTTTTAACCAAAGCATCAGTTGTTGACTTACCCCTCCTAAATCCAGTTTGATACCCTTTAATTGGATTTATGTATTCTAGAAAATAATTTAAACGTCCAACTATAATTTTTTCCAATAATTTTCCAAAATGTGAAGTGAGAGCAATAGGTCTGTAGTTTCCTGGGTCACTTGAGTCTTTGCCTGGTTTAGGAAATGGAAGAATTCTTGCTAATTTCCACTTGCTTGGTAATTTACCTTCATTCCACACTTTGTTAAACAGCTTAAGAACTTTCTCCAATATATTTACAGGTAGTTTTCTAAACATAGCGTAACACAGGTTGTCCGTCCCTGGTGCAGAGTATGCAGTATTACTCAATGCTCTTTTAAGTTCTGACATATTAATTTCAGTATCCATAATGGACATGTCTCTTTGGTATTTAAAATATTCCTATTTATTTTCATTACCTCTTCTTTCCTTCTCATATACCGCTCCTCTAGGTGGCTACCCTTATGTATGTCTGCAAAAGCTCTAGCAAGCATATTGGCTTTTTCCAAATCTGAGATTGCATGCATCCCATCTTTGATTAAGACAGCAACCTGAGGAGGCTTAAATTTACAGTCTGAGATCTCATCTGCTTTTGATTTTAAACTAAACACGTCACTCTAAAAATGTTGGAAGGCGGAGCTTTGAGCTTTACCCCCACTGTTATACAAATAAAAAAAATCTGGTAAAGAGAGAGAGAACAGCCACCCGGGCACACACACACACACACACACACACACACACACACACACACACACACACACACACACACACACACACACACACACACAAACCAATACTTTGGAAATATCATTTATTCATAATAAATTAAGTTTTGTTTACAGCAACATTTGGAGTAAATCCTGCACAAAAATAAATAAATAAAAATTCAGATTTTGAGTTGAAACAATTATACTTTTGCTCAGTGACTTCCCAGTCAACACGTTTATCTCGCAGTGATCTCTCCATATGATCAAATGTGAGCTAAAAGTGTAACTTTGCACTCACTGTGTGCTCATATATAATGGCCACAATGTGAGTCACCCCAGCTACAAATGTTATTGGACATTGATTTTGGTTGAAAATAAAAATTGGGTTGACATCTAAACATTTGATGTCAGGCTCAAACTTCATTAAACAACTCCTCATTCCTGATATCAATAATTAAATTGTCAATAGTTGAAATGTCTAAGATATCAACAATTAAATTGCTACTTATGGAAAGCCCTTTGAGCATTTATTCAATAGCCTATCCTAATAGTACGCACTTATTTCATCATACTAGTAATAATTTTGTTCAAACTACTTCGACAAAATGACGAACTAGTAGACCAAAAGTCTCAACTAGTTGGCTTTTTGACGAACTATTGTTTTTTGATTTTTTCAAGGCATTTGATTCTATCGGACATTTTCGACTTTTTACTGGACTCACTCCAACATTTTGGGTTTGGTAAAAAACTTTTGTAAGGTAATCAGAATGTTTTATGACCAAATATACAGTTATATTTCACTTCAATCAGACGTCACTCCAAGAATTAATGTCTCTTGTGGAATAAGACAAGGGTGCCCAATTTCATCAAAATTATTCATTCTCTGTTCGCAGCTTTTGGCCTATATTTTGTAGTAAATAATAAAGACCTTGAAGGGATAAAAGTTAACACCGAATTGAAAATGTGATATTTCTAAAGGATAAATCAATTCTTCAGAAGGCTTTAAATGTGATTTCTTCCAGGGCATCAGGCCTT